ATGATTTTTAAAGAAAATTCTCAGGGTGGGGGGGGGTCCTGAAGCCCACAAAACCCCTCTGGATCCGCCACTGTTCCGTGTTAACACTAATTAAAAGGGAATAGGCGTGTGCACGTGCCTGCGGTTATATCTCCTCCCCATTTACAATTGTATCTCTCGTTGTTTCGGCATCCTGTATAAAAAAATACTAATTTGTTTTTTGCGCATACCTGCGTTTTTTTTTCTGAAACAACAATTTATCACGTGTTAACGCTTTGAAAAATTGCATAGTGAACATCTAACAAATATTAATTCGCATAGATTTCAGCGTCCTAAAATAAAACATACTACACCATTGGGAAATAAAAAAAAATATATTTGATATTCAAAATAAGCTTCTTTTATGCCGTTTTTTTTGTTTGTCTGTGCATGTACGTAAATCAGATTCATTAAAACAGATAACAGCTCGCTGGTGTAACCACTGATACAATTGTCAAACATTCACTAAACATTTCAAATTGTTTCGATGGCAAGATAACACAGTATCATAGTATAATGCGATTTATCTTTTAATAGGAATTTTGGCTGCGGCGCGGCGGCTTTATGTTGAAAAGAAATGCGAGCTATCAAAACATCAAGGTGACAGACTGATAAAAAAGAGGAACTATATATGTTGTGAAGAAATTCTGCAAATAAAATTGTCCATTCCTTGTAAACATCTTTTATTTATTTCATATTTGGGACAGTCTGACAACTAATCTACAAACCGATTTGGATTGTAACTCTGCGTTTATAGCACAACGTGAGGTTAGATGGACCACTAAAACGTCTATGGTTATTCTTCCATCAATATAAAGGTATTTTATTTTCAACATCAATGCTCAAGTTGTAAAGTTGCCAAGACTGTTCTTAATCAAATAATCTTTTACGTGTCAGGGGTATAATAAAACTGAGCTCTTGCATATTGCATCTCCTGTAATCGAATAACGCCACTAGTACAACCCGATAAAATCACAAGAAACGCTAATGTCACAACTTAATACACCACACGGTCGAGTGACGTCATGGTAACGATACACAATACGGTAGAGTGACGTCACAGTAACAGTACACAACACAGTAGAGTGACGTCACAGTAACGATGCTCACCACGATAGAGTAACGTCACAGTAACGGTACACAACACGGCAGAATGACATCACATCAACGGTACACAACACGGTACAATGACGCCATAAAGTAACGGTACCTAACACGGTACAATCACATCACAGCAACAGTACACAACATGGTAGAAGGGCATCACAGTAACAGTTAACAACACGGTAGAGTTACGTCACATTAACGGTACACAACACGGTACAATGACGCCATAAAGTACCGGTACCTAACACGGTACAATCACATCACAGCAACAGTACACAACATGGTAGAATGGCATCGCAGTAACAGTTAACAACACGGTAGAGTGACGTCACATTAACGGTACACAACACGGTACAATGACGCTATAAAGTAACGGTACCTAACACGGTACGATCACATCACAGCAACAGTACACAACATGGTAGAATGGCATCACAGTAACAGTTAACAACACGGTAGAGTGACGTCACAGTAACGATACACAACACGGTACAATGACGCCATAAAGTAACGGTACCTAACACGGTACATATGCAAGACCACACACTTGTGTCTTTTCTAACGAATCAGAAAGCACGAGTTTATTGCGCGGATGAATATATATTGAAGAGTGCGCGGAGCGCACGAGTGAATATATACGTCCTCGCAATAAATGAGCGCTTTCTGATTCGTTAGAAAAACACAAGTGTGTTGTCTTGCTTTTATCACATACCTTCCGTATTTGGTAGAGATCGATACAAAGATTTTATAAATACCGGGAACTTTTCAGTTCGGAATGACAAGGGGATTCCCATAAAATGTAGTTCCGGCTAGTAGGTAAATACAACATTCCGTATTGCACATGTGCAATACAGAACGTTGTATTTCATGCTCTGAAAATTGCTTGTATTACTATAACAAGATTCAACAGGTATGTGATAAAATGACATCACAGTGACCGTACCATACAGTATTTTTTGACTCGTCGTTAATACTAACGTTTATGGTTAGTATGTCATCTATAACCACTGAAGTCCCATATGTTGTTTATTGCTAATTGTGTGAGGTAGTTACATGGATTAAAATGTTTGTCGGCTTCCCACTGATATTTTTTTAAACTTAGAACAATAATGGGCTGACTTTTTTAAACGAGCTGCTATTGACACATGGCATTGTACGTGTACACTGTAAACTGGTGTTGGGCCCTGAAGGTAGTGTCAACATCCGTTATCATATATAGATTATGCTGTCTGGAATAAAATTATGATGAATTTTCCATTCGGTAAATGTTACTTTGTGTATATGAACACGAAAGAAATGTTATTACATTGAACTCCGTAATATATTGATATTTTCCTTCGGAGTTAACATATAGTAAATTTATGACCTCATAAAAACGTTAAAATTGATTTGTTGAAAAGATAACGCATTTTTTTTTTTTTTTTTAAATCGATCATATGCCAGACACGTACAGTATCGATCAAAGGTCACCCACATCAATATTCATAATTAACGAGATTATTTCATATGTTCAGCTATTCGATGTACTTTTAAACGTGAGAAAGATATTTGTGTGTGCTTACCATTTGAATTAACATAACTATACAGATGTCTTTCATCATATTCATACTCCACCATATATTCAGGTGTTATACGTAAGGTGTAAACAAGCTAGTGGAAGGGATATTCATTGAGTAAGGTCGGTCGATAATATAAAATTTTACTGGCTTTTGTGAAAAGAAATTCTATCGTAAGAAGATTATAAGTCGCTCTATAAAACGGTTTGATTTCGGTTTGAGATGAACGTTGTAGACGAGTATGTTCCTGGGAGACGTGAATGTCGTCCCTGTACACACATATAAACACGTGGATGTCATAGCCCCTCCACTGAGGTACTGATATCTTATTTAAAAATCAAAACCCTCACATGGATTCTTCTCTTTTTTATTTATTTACTTATTCATTCAAACCAACAATCAACAAATTGATCAACAATCAATATATTACAATACATGCTCGTTAGAGAACTGATAACAGTTTCTATTCAATACCATACTATGAGAGATACATTTACTGTTAGGTGCATATACGCTAAACACAGTTACGCCACACACATCCAGAAAACCTCTTTTATTTGTGACTATATCTAGTAATACTTCCAAAATTACTACACAAAGATTGTTTAAAGTATAACGTAAACGTGAGATCTGTGTGTGCCGAAAGTGTTTGCTTGTTATTTTATAATTGGAGGACATAAATGTTTATTTTTTCCCCTGGAATAGCGAATTGATTGTGTGATGGTTTATTTTTGTTAAAGTTTTGCGTCCACATGGCAGCTAAGGTTAAATAAATACCGTATCACAAATAAGGGCTAAATACAAACCATTACATGCATGTTTGGCGTGACGCTACCGACCGAGGAAAACCGGCTCCACTGAAAGAAATTAGTATTTTCTACGAAATTTATTTTCATGCTAACCTAGGCACAATAAATACTGTCCCCTTTAAGAAAGAAGAAACGTTAACTGACATTTATAAATATATGATATTTAAAGTGCTTATGTAACTGTGTCAATGTGGTGAAACAAAATGAACCTGTAGACCGGTTCTACTGATAAGAGTTGAATAAAACAAATGCCTTTTCTTTGTCAGATAACCAAAATACTTTGGCCTACATACCTACCAAAACCTAAACTACCAAAACCTAAAATTACTGGCGGGGTTACCCCAAAGTTAACTGTTCTAATGGTGGCCTTACAGTGCCAAAATAAATTGCCATTTCACTGAAACTTGAGTGGTGGCATATTACTACTTAGGAAAGGAAAGTTATTGATCGCAAAATTAAACTCCCCGCGTTTTGTCATACCACAGATGTAGTTTGGTATTATGGTAATTAAAATAGCTTACTGAACCTTGACGATTGAAGATTTATTAACTTGTTGAAAGAGAGAAACAAGATATCTAACTTATGATAATTTATTATGCTTTACATTTTGTATGTCACCAACGAAACAGTTGAATATTGTTTGTGTAGTTATGATATAGTAAAATACATCTAGGTCATCATGACATTACCAAACTTATTTTACAATGTTTGACAATGTATTGACACATATCTAATTAATAAATAGAAATGCCATGTGAAATGCAAAAATATAAATAATACAAACATTTCCTGATGTACAAATACCCTAAAGTACTGTCAAAAAGGAGTGAAATTCGTTTAAGCGGAACGCATGGACATTTACCGTACATTAATATAATGACCTCCCACGTAAGTCACCCTGACCCCCTGCAGGATGATACGTCACAACCAATTGCTTCAATTGACTATTGGATTAATGCCTTTCTATTCCAATTCCTTGTCCTGTGAGCTACAGACTACAACGATAGCGAAATGGACACCACAAACAGGCATTTGTTGCCTGGAAGAACAAAGCACTCTTAGCTTCTGTAAAACAGTTACAGATCGGAAGTTAAAGTGGATAAAGAGTGGGTAACAAGGATTAAGACCAGACGCCGTTTGATCAGATATCCGTGAACTTGTCTGTGCAAACACATCTGTACTTTTAGTTAACTGGCGTCATCAAAAGGATAATACATTGTCAAATATATATATCGCCTGACAGTTTTTGTTTTTAAAATATGGAAATGTTACGACATCGTCAATGTATATATACAAAATATGAAGTCAAAAGCTTGTATGAAAAGACAAAAACAGGAAATGTGGACGTTATAGGAACCAAGAAGGTACAAATGTAACAGGAAATGAGGACGTGTCAATACAAAAGAAGTGACGTCACAAAAATCGTTGAAACGAAACCAGGTGTTCCAAGAAGGTAAGCGTTCCGATTTCACAATTGTATATTTCATGGACTAAAATATTATAGAATGACGCTCTCAGTATGTTATACAGACATTACTAATTGTTTATCATTTTTAGGTATGGATATATGGCAAATAAACGTGATCATAGAATTCAGAGTTCGGGAGCCTTGACAAGTGTCAGAAACTCAGTCGGGTATAGAGTTTGGAGTCAGAACCTCGGCGAGTGTCAATTCAATGATCTAAATTCTAAATTCGAAGGTATAAATTCCATATCTACTTTTCACTAGCCCTCAAAAACTGGGTCACGGGTTCGAGGCCTACGTAGAGCAGTCGCCATTTACTATTTGCAGGTTGGTGTTTTTTTCTCTCCAGGTACTCCGGCATTCCTCCACCACCAAAACCTGACACGTCCTTAAATGACCATAGCTGTTTATAGGAAGTAAAGCACAATCAAACCAGACCTCTTAACACTGTTGAAAAGTACACAAATACATCTATCATATGATTTTAAAAGGAAAATGTTAGATAATCGGGATCGGTAGGGAATACATTTAAGAGCCATCAATGCTCTTTATTAAACATGGACTAATTCAAATTAAACTTTCTCTTTTTTCTGAAACAATTATTATAAAACATATACTTATATATTACGTATCCTTGCAGCGACGTGACACGAATTTATTGCAATATCAAAGTACAGTACTTATTTTTACGTTTACGGAAATAACCAACGGTTCCCAATTGCCCGATTTCCTTCTACATTAAGACCCCATGCGCGCTAACATTTGAGCCAGCAAGAAGGTTGGTATACGCTGGTAAAGCTTGTTTTGTAATTTTTGTATAGATATAAAATGTTAGATTTTAAAATAACTGACCGCAAATCGTATTTTAAGTGTAGCCACGGTGTAAAAGTCAAACTTAAAAGTGCTGCTCCGTGGGAACGACACCAAAATTGAAACTTTTAATATTCAACGCTGAACTAACAATCCTTCATTGTAAAGCAACGTATCGTCGGAGGGGTAACGATATCAACTAATCACATTAGGTGCCTTTGAATAATATTTATGTAACAGAATAAAAAAGAAATATATATTACAAAATAACAGTTTGATTTTTAACAATTTACGTCACTGTAAAGTACACAATTTATAGGGCGTGGCTGTTCGGGTACGTGTATATGTGTCATTACTAGGTAAATGAGAAAATAACATTTTACAAAACCGCCGTCATTGTGTGGTAAGCTGTTACTGGACGGTACGTTAGCGCCTGTTTAATGTGTTACATCAACGCTGCACTGTGTGCACCTGTATAGTGTATATAACGAGAAAGTAATACTGCAACTTGGCATCGTGTAGTAATCTCCCAGGACCGACAGCTTGATATCAGGGATACATAAAGGTGGCCGCTTTCTTTGTAAACGGATTATCTTTTGTAATGACTTCTCCAAAGGTATGTAAATCAATTGGAGCAACGGTATGTAGCCAGAAACATGTATATATGATATGTTAGGACAAAATACCTATCAAATATCGCTAGTTTTCTATTCTTTATTACAAAAGGTTTATATACTTAACCGTTAAGATTAATAACTTTTGATTCTCTATGATACAGGGAAACGATATAAACAAATATACTTTAATTTGAAACAATTAATTTGAAACACCTCTATGCCAGGTGTTATTTGCATGTATATGAAGATATAACGATATACAGAAAAAAAGCTGTATACTAAACGGACTATCGACACCAACAAGTCATCCAGAAACAGACCGTAGTATAAACGGATCATCAACGAAACAAGGTCTAATGGGGATAAAACGGTAGGTTTGACGGACCATAGAAAAGTAAGGTCTAATGGGGACAAAACGGTAGGTTTGGCGGACCATAAAAAAGTAAGGTCTAACAGGGACAAAACGGTATTCTTGGCGGACCATAAAAAAGTAAGGTCTAATGGGGACAAAACGGTAGGTTTGGCGGACCATAAAAAAGGAAGGTCTAACAGGGACTAAACGGTAGGTTTGGCGGACCATAAAAAAGGAAGGTCTAACAGGGACTAAACGGTAATCTTGGCGGACGATTAAAAAAGAAATGTCTAACAGGGACTAAACGGTAGTCTTGGCGGGCCATAAAAAAGTAAGGTCTAACAGGGACAAAACGGTAGGCTTGGCGGACCATAAAAAAGCAAGGTCTAACAGGGACTAAACGGTAATCTTGGCGGACGATTAAAAAAGAAATGTCTAACAGGGACTAAACGGTAGTCTTGGCGGACGATTAAAAAAGAAAAGTCTAACAGGGACTAAACGGTAGTCTTGGCGGACCATAAAAAAGAAAGGTCTAATGGGGACAAAACGGTAGGTTTGGCGGACCATAAAGAAGTAAGGTCTAACAGGGACAAAACGGTAGGGTTGGCGGACCATAAAAAAGGAAGGTCTAATGGGGACAAAACGGTAGGTATGGCGGACCATAAAAAAGTAAGGTCTAACAGGGACTAAACGGTAATCTTGGCGGACGATTAAAAAAGAAATGTCTAACAGGGACTAAACGGTAGTCTTGGCGGACGATTAAAAAAGAAAGGTCTAACAGGGACTAAACGGTAGTCTTGGCGGACGATTAAAAAAGAAAAGTCTAACAGGGACTAAACGGTAGTCTTGGCGGACCATTAAAAATATAGGGTCACACAGAACCAAACGGCACTCTTGTCGGACCATAGACAAGTGAGGTCTAACAGAAACTAAACGGCAGTCTTGTCGGACCATAGACAAGTGAGGTCTAACAGAAACTAAACGGTAGTCTTGTCGGACCATAGACAAATAAGGTCTATCAGGGACTAAACGGTAGTCTTGTCGGACCATAAACAAATAAGGTCTAACAGGGACTTAACGATAGTCTTGGCGGAACATAAACTAAATAAGGTCTAACAGGGACTAAACGATAGTCTTGGCGGACCATTAAAAGTATAGGGTCACACAGAACCAAACGGCAGTCTTGGCGGACCATTAAAAATATAGGGTCACACAGAACCAAACGGCAGTCTTGTCGGACCATAGACAAGTGAGGTCTAACAGAAACTAAACGGTAGTCTTGGCGGACCATAGACAAATAAGGTCTATCAGGGACTAAACGATAGTCTTGTCGGACCATAGACAAATAAGGTCTAACAGGGACTAAACGATAGTCTTGGCGGACCATAAAATAAACAAGCATACTGAGTTTTGCTAAAGCAATACATGTCCCCTACCGGGCCCGCTAGCTACTACACTTAGTCTGGGAGCCAACTGCCATTTTTCCCCTTAACCTTGCATTGTTGTATTAAGTTTTTTTCACTGTTGATTTTGGTAGCCAAGGGTCTCTATTTTCAGAAACTGCTTGATGACATGTTGTCACCCTTGAGCAATTTGAGAAATTCAAGATGGCGTCCAAGATGGCCGCCATTACATATAAATGACCATAACTCCCTACCTGTTCATCATAGGAAGGTGATTTTTGTCTCTATACCTAGGTTTTAGGGGTCAAGCTATCCATTAGAACTAAGTATTATGTTAATATCGTATTACATAATGGTAATTTCCAAGATGGCTGCCAAGATGGCCGCCATTACCTATAAATGACCATAACTCCCTACCTATTCACCTTAGGAAGGTGATTTTTGTCTCTATACCTACTAGGTTTTAGGGGTCAAGCTATCCAT